TCTGTAGTTTGTTATTTACATATGTGCTGTGAAGCTATCAGATTGATTAATTTAACAACTCTTTCCTAAAACCTTAGTGGTTTTTAGTTTTAAATTTTTTAAAATTTGTTTTTATGTATAGGAGCATTTTGCCTACATGTAAGTGTACTAGTGTCATGCAATGCCTACGGAGACCAGAAGAGGGTGATGGATCTCCTGGAACTGGAGTTACAATTGCTAGCAACTATGTGGGTGCTGGGAACTGAACCTAGATTCACTAGAAGAGCAGCCAGTGCCCTTAACTGCTGTGCCATCTCATCAGCCCTGGTTTTTTCAAATTTTGTATGTTTGTGTGCCCCTACAAGTGTCATGGTGCACATGTGGTGATCATAGGACAACTCTGTGGGTTCTCTCCTTCTACCATGTGGGTTCCGGGGACTGAACGCAGGTTGTCAGGCTTAAGGACAAGAGATTTTACCCACTGGGTCATTTTGACAGGCCCCACTAATGAGGGCTGAAAACTAAAATTGAGTCTTCACTTTCCCTTACAGATAAAACTAATCATGTGAGTTGGGGACATAGCAACACAGAAATTCCAAACAAAAACGCAAAGTGACCATATGAATATTTCTAGTCAATGAAATATACATGGACGTCTCTAGGAAAACTGTATCTTCTGAAATAAAAGTAAAAGGCCACCTCCTCCTCAGAAAATCTTTTGTCCTTTTGTCAACCTCCTGGGATAGGACACAAAGTTGGAGGTGAGGTGATATCTTTTTTTAAATTGTTCTTTTTTAAAATTCTGCAGCTAGAGAGATGGCTCGGCAGTTAAGAGCACTGGCTGTTCTTACAGAGGACCTGGGTTTGATTCCCAGAACCCGCATGGTGGCTAACAATCACCTGTAACTCTAGTTCCAGGGGATCTGATACCCTCTTCTGCCCTCCATGGGCATTGCATGACATGGGTGCACTTACACACATGCAGGCATAATACACACATAAAATAAAAACAAAATATTTAAAATAAAATTTATATTTTATGTTTGTGTTTTCCTTGCATGTATGTGGGTGCACCCATGTCATGCAATGCCCACAGAGGCCAGAAGAAGGCATCGGATCTCCTTGAGCTGGACAGCTGTTATTTCAACCATGTCGCTGCTGAGAACCAAACCTAGAAGTATTCTGGAAGAGCAGCTAGTGCTCTTAACTGCTGAGTCATCTCTCCACGACCCCCCCTTTTTTTTTTTCAGTTTTAGTGTTGGGGGGGCGGGTTTGGTTCACTATGTAAGCCTCAGCCGGCCTAGAATTCACTATGTAGACTGGGCTGGCCTCAGTCTCACAAAGATCCACCAGCTTCTGCCTCCCAAGTGCTGGAATTAAAGGTATGTGCTTACCATGCCTTGCTAAGGTGACCTCTTTCCACCACAGTGAAAATACATGAGAAGGTCTGTATGTTAAGCAGAAAGATTTAAAGAGCCATACTAGCCCTGAACAATTTACTTCCAGGGTTTTGTTTGGGATATTGCTCTTGTTTAAGCAAGTATTTTAAATGTTTCCACAACAATAAAACTCTTTTTTCTTAATACTGTAATTTCAGGCCCTCAGGGACAGATCACGCATCTTATACCCTTAGTACTTTGCGTACCGTAGACATTCAGTATATATTTGTTTAATTAATTTGCTATTGATTGCAAGTCACTGGGATAGTTTATAAAACTGAAATATATGAAGAGGGTTATTTAGAAGTTACTAAGATAAACTGAGAGCAGAAAAATCAAATTACTTAAAAGGAAAAAGAAAATGAAAGCCAGGTGTGGTGGTGCATGCCTTTAATTCCAGCACTTGGGAGGCAGAGGCAGGCAGATCTCTGTGAGTTTGAGGCCAGCCTGGTCTACATAGTGAGTTCCAAGCCAGCTGGGGCTATAGGGAGACCGTCTCAAGAAGACACACACACACACAAAAAAAAAAAAAAGAGAAAAGAAAATGAATAAGCCAAAGTTTATTTTGTATTGCCTTTTTATTTGTGCATGTGCATGCCACAGCACAAATATGGACATCCACCAGGGGTTTCAGGCATGCACCATCATGCCTAGTTAATTCAGTGCTGGGGACTGAAGCCAGGTCTTGTTCATGCTAAGCAGACACTCTGCCAACTGAGCCACATCTCCACCCCCTATTTTATGTTTTACTTTATTTCGAAACAGATCTTTATGTAGCCCAGACTGGCTTCAAATTTGTGATCCTCCTCCCTCAATTTCATGAAAGTATTTCAGGGGTGCCAGCTAATGAGTCAAATTAAAATTTTTTTTACTACATCTTTATTTCTTTAGTGTGCATGTGTGTGTATGTGGATGCATGTGTGTGCAAGTTAGAGTACAAGTTGTTGAAGTCAGTTCTCTCCTTCCATAGTGTAGATCCCAGGGATTGAACTCAGTTTGTCAGGCTTGGCTGCAGGAATTGTTACCTACTGAATCATCTTATTGTGGGCCAAAATTTTGATTGGCAGAGCAAAAAACAAAAGGACTTTGCTTTTTCCAAGAAAATTCTCTTCACTAAAGAACAATGTGCTATTATTAATAGTAATAATAAATGTCTATAGGGTTTATCTTCACACAAGGAAATCATGAGAGAGTAAACATTATCCCTGTGTTACAGCTGAAGAAATGGAATCGAAGAGGTCTGTGGCCAAAATTAGTTAATACAGAGCTAGAATATAAATCTAGGTAATCAAGCAGAGCATGGTGGCACATGCCTTTGATCCCAGCAGTTGGGAGACAGAGACAGGTGGATCTCTGTGAATTGGTCTACATAGTGAGTTCCAGGCCAGTCAGTTTTATATAGTGAGACCCTATCTAAAAAAAAAAAAAAAAAATCCAAGTAATCAGGCCAGAAACTGCCCTCTTAACCACTATACCATACCAATGAAATAATGGTGAATAACCAAACACAACTGTGTATGTTTCTCTTTTCTGTATTCTCTCTTCTTCCCACCCAACAATCCTACCCACTCTCTTTTGTGAGTCTCACTATGTAGCCCTGAATGGCCTGGAGTTTGCTATGTAGACGTGGCTTGATGAAATTGTGGTGCCTCCTGCCTCTGCCTCTCAAGTTAAGTTGCTGAGATTACAGGTGGGCACCACCACACCCAGCTTTAAATCATTTTTTTGATTTATAAAATTTAATTTAAAAATTTTTTTGGTCTTTTTGAGACAGGGTCTCCCTGTAGTCCCAGCTGACCTGAACTATGTAGACCTGAACTCACAAAGATCCACCTGCCTCTGCCTCCCAAATGCTGGGATTAAAGGCGTGTGCCACCACGCCTGGCCTTTAATTTAAAATTTTTTAAAGCATTGCACACCTGGAATAACAGAACTGGGAAGGTAAAGGCAGGAGGATTAGGAGTTTGTTATCTTTGTCTACATTGCAAGTTGAATTTGAGACCAGCCTGGGCTGGGCTCCATGAGGCCCTGTTTCAAAAAAAAAGCCAAAAAAAAAAAAAAAAAAAAAAGCATTGCTAAATCTGAATGGCTTGGTTCATCACTGTGCTCTAGCTGATTGTGTAGACACAACATCCAAAGCATTTAGATCATGTATTTCAGCAATCCAAACTTAGGAACTTAAAATATATATATTTTTATTTTGTTTTGGTGGGGTGCTAGGGATCAAACTCAGGGCCCTGCACACGCTAGACAAGCATTCTTGTCACAAAGCTACAGCCCCACAATCAACCCTGATTTTGTTGTTGGTTTTGTTTTATTTAGGTTATAGACCCAGGATTGAGAACTTGAGATCTTCCTGCCTCAATTTCTGAGTACTGGGATTACAAGCATGCGCCACCTGACTTCACTTTTTCCCAGCAACTTTTGTTTCAAAGGGTGACTACAGGAGTGAGGATGTACTTAACCAGATTATTCGTCTGGAAACTGGGGCCTGAGTTTTATACCTAAGGCAGGTTAAAACAATATCCCCAATCCTACAGTTACTATTTGCTCTTAGACTGGCCTAGGAAATGGTTGATCTTAAAATAGAAATTATACCTTAGGGAAGACAAAGAATGGAAAGGTTAGTTGGTAATTAATTCTTTCCACAACTGCCTTGCCTTTTTCCTCCTTTTTAAAGATTTTTAAAAATATTTTATTATTTTTATTTTATGTGTATGAGTGTATTGCCTGCATGTAGGTAAGTGCGCCCATGTCATGCAATGCCTTCGGAGGACAGAAGAGGCTGTCGGATCCCCTGGAATTGGAGTTATGGACAGTTGTTAGCTGCCATTGGGTGCTGGGATTCAAATACAGGTCTTCTGCAAGAACAACCAGTGTCTTAACCACTGAGCCATCTCTCCAGCGCCTGGGTTTTTTTTTTTTTTTTTTTTTTTGGTCTTTTTGAGACAGGGTCTCCCTGTAGCCCTAGCTGTCCTGGAACTCACTATGTAGACTAGGCTGGCCTTGAACTCACAGAGATCCGCCTGCCTCTGCCTCCCAAGTGCTGGGATTAAAGGCGTGCACCACCCTGCCTGGCAGTTTTTTTAGATGGGTATGTGTATGTGTATATGCCACATGTGTGTAGGTGCCCTTGGAGGCCAGGAGAGGGCATTGTAGCTCCTAGAACTGGAGTTATGGATGGTTGTTACCCACCATGTGGATGCTGGGAACCCAAACCAGTTAAGAGTTAATGCTGAGCCATCTCTTGAGCCCCTTGGGGTCATTTTCTTTAACAGTTAAATATAAACATTTGCTGGGCCCTGGGACTGCTAGTGTAGCCACTTTGTCTATTTCATCTGCAAGTTGTATACATGATCTAATGAGAAGTTAAAAATTACCTTTTAAGGTTTTGAAATAGTAACCCTATAAATTCACGAGTGTTTCTGTAATGTATATCATTTGCTTCTTTTTAAAAAAATGTGCGCCACTCCATTTTTCAGTCTAAGCATTGCATTTTATAGGTAAGGAGAAGGAAAGAGGGAAGAGAAATGGCGATTCCTTTCTTACTTTACTGACCAGATTCTTAGCAGCTGCCTCTTGGATTTTTGTTCCACAAAGAGATCACTTTTTTACTTCCTAATCGCTTTGCTGACTGTAGATATTCCACTCATGCTAAAAAGAAGCACATTGGGTTTAGATTACTTTTCTAATTTAGCTATTTGCTCAAGGGCAATATGAGCCCTAAACAGTAACCGGGCTTCCATGGAATAGTCTTTATAGTGCTTTATGTGGTTTAAGTTTTTTGTTGCACTGGCATAATCTCCTTTCAGATAGTATAGCATTCCCAGTTCATAATAACTATACGGCACCAAATAGTGGTCGTATTTTAACATTTTCTCCTTCTTAATAACATGAATAAAATAGTGCTCAGCCTTCAAATGTTTGCCTAAGAATTTCAGGCACAGACCTTTCAGCAAATTTAACAAACTTATGTCATCTATGCCATACTCTTGGCTTGGATTTTCACTCACAAGCTCTTTTCCTTTGTCAATTATGGATAGCCAACTTGAAATAAACTCTATTTTTTTGCTCATGACTCGGAAACCACTCCAGGCGTAAATGAATTCCAGAAGGGGCTGTGCTGTAAACCAGCCTGTCGTACTACCATAGCGCTGGCTTTTCTCAGCAATAAACTTTTCTACTGGCAGAGAGGAGCCTAAAATTTTCATTCTCAGGCTATCCACACTTAAGAAGACAGAGCTCATGGTCTCACCTTCTGAGTTCGTAGAATTAGGAGGAAGCAAGGCCAGTAATATAGCTTTGCTGTACGCATAAATTGCCTTAGACCACCTGCTATATAGAGACAGTAGATTGGCATAATGGTAAGCCTGCCTCCAATTCTGCAGAAAAATATTGCACCACATGAGTTCCCAGTAACAGAGGTGATGAACCTGCTTCCATTCATTCTGACTTAAAATGCACTCTTGCAATTTTAACTGGGCATTTTGAAATTGTCCCTTCAGCATGCTAAAACGTGCATGAAAAAATTTAAGCACAACGCAGTTTGGAAACTTCTCAAGGTGGACTAGGAAGAAACTCTCTGTAGCAAAACGGTAATTCTTTTCAACATCAAAAACTACCTGGATATAATTGTAATAAAAGAGAAGAGTGAAAACACTTAAGATATTATTTATGTGGGGTTCGGAGGCACTTTCATGAAGCAGAGCCAGGCCTACTTCTCTGTTGCCAGTGTATCCAACAACATTGAGAAGTTTAAGTGACTTTGGTGGCACAAGTGAAAATATCAAATTGAACACTCCAAGACCAAACTTTATTCCTCCATCCAAGTGTCTGTGAGTTTTGCTTTGGCTCTCAGGCATAAGTGCTAGTATCTGTAGGCAGTCTTTGTATATTTGATAACTTGACCCAATATTGATGCCACTTTTAAGAAAACTAAGCAAACTATCATGCTGTATAAATGTTATGACAGATTTCAATATCAAACACTCAGCATAACAGAGTTCTGCATGTAACTCCTCTTCTTTGATGGACTTTATTCCCTGCCGACTCACTAGACGAGATAAAGTCATTATCCTGTTTTTTTTTCGGAAATTGTTGCAGGTTTTCAAAGCTTCCTTTGCAGCAGTCATTCCAACGTGAATATCATGTGGTTCAAAAGTCAGGATGGCCTTGACAACCATAAGCATACTATATATTAGGGCATGGTATGGACTGTTTTTATACCATGGATGAATAAGATTTATTGCATCTGAGAATCTGTTATTTAGAAATAAGTACAATCCAGTTGTGCATTCTTCCAGGGAAGATAAGAGATTCATTGTTGTTGCTGCAGGGATAACTTCATGGGCATCTTCAAACTTGTCTTCTGGCTTCTTTTCTCTTAGACTGAGTGATCTAGTTACTCTGGTCTTTTGTTCAATTTCTTCTTCACTTCGACTAACTAACATGCTTGACATGCCCTCCTGCTCATTTTCCCCTATTCTTAGAATATGCGCCATGTTTGCCTCCTCACTTAGAGCGAGGGAGACCCAAAGTGGAGTTGCAATGAGAACAGTTGCTGCACTCCTGACCAGGGTCTCTTCTTCCACACAAAGCTCAGTCTGAAGTGTTGCTGTTAAAAATGGAGGTAAACGCAAGATTAGCTGTGAGATGCAGTATTGGGATATTCTCATCTATGTCACTTTATTTACCCAGAGGATGTATTTCTGAAAAGTCCGAATCATCTAGAATGGACTAAAGCAAGCATGACCTTAAAACACTACAAAGGAAATTCTTTGTAAATGATGGGTTCTTTTGTACCCAGTTACTTACTGTAGAAATTTTATAAGATCATGTCTTTGTGTATTTAGAACTGTACTATGATTTGCTGTAAAATATCTTAATAGAAAGGCCTTGGGGGACAAGAATCTGTTTGGAAAGGGTATTTATATAGTTGTCTAGTTAAGACTAAGGATGGTGTGAATTGACCAGGCCAAAGAATAAAGATTATGAGAATGAAAAAATCCCTCCCAGGCTATACTTAGTCACTGCATGTGCATATTTTTTCATTCGAACTAGGTCTTAATGAAATTCAACATTAAAGTCCAGCTGCATAGGACTTTGTAAAAGGGGTATGTGAAAACTAGGAAGATTTATTAGCATTGCTGCACTTAGAAAAAGTCATAATAACTGTTACCATAACATTACTATAGAATTTTTGTAGGAAATCTTTCCTATTTGGAGGTGTTTAAGACCTGGTAGGTTGGTGAAGGTGGGCATAATGGAAAATCAATTACATTTTTTTTTGGTCTCCCTGTAGCCCCAGCTTTCATGGAACTATGTAGACCAGGCTGGCCTTGAACTCACAGAGATCCACTTGCCTCTGCCTCCCAAGTTCTGGGATTAAAGGCATGCACCACCATGCTTGGCTGGAAGATCAACTACAAACAGCAAGCCATTTAATTTATTAATAGAAATAATCATTTCAATTAACTTGTTTTAAAAAGAAAAAATGAAACCTTAATAGTAATTATTTAAATGTTTTAAAATAATTACACATATGTCAGGTGTGGTGGCTCATGTCTTTATTCCCAGCACTCAGAAGGCAGAGGCAGAAGCAGGTGGATCTCTGAGTTCAAGGCCAGCTGAGGCTATTAGGGACACCCAGTCTCAAAATGACCAAAAAAAATTACAAATATACTTTAGAATGTACCTAAATTCTATATTTTGATAGGTAAAAAAGACAAGAGGGAATGAAGTAAAACGAGGATAATCAAAGAAACAGGGAGAAAAGCAGAAGAAATATATGTTTTATTCTTTAAATATCTTATTTATTATTTTTACTTTATGTGTATGAGTGTATTGCCTGCATGTGTGTAAATGCACCCATGTCCATTCCATGCAATGCCCAGTGGAAATAGAAGAGGGCATTGGATTTTCCTGGAACTGGAGTTATGGATGGTTGTTAGTCACCATGTAAGTGCTGGGAATAGAACCCAGGTCCTCTGTAAGAGCAGCCAGTGCTCTTAACCACTGAGCCATCTCTCCTGCCCCAGAAATATATATTTTAATGAAGAGGGGAAAAAGGAAAATGTAACATTTTTAAAAGATGATGATGTTCTCAGATGTGTTATTTTTAGGTAAATCTTTGTTTTCACACCTTACAGTTAAGTTTCAAGACATTAGCAACTGTGATCAGTAACCTTTGAAAAGCAAAATTACATATTTCCCTGAAAGAGGGTTTTAAGTGGAAATGCCATGTGGTACACTGGGAGGGAACTCATTCTTGGGATGCAATAGTAGATAGGGCTGGAGATGTAGCTTAATGGTAGAGTTCTTGCCTAGCATGCATAAAGCTCTGGGTTCTGTCCCCAGGATCGCAAAGAAGAAGAAGAAAAGGAACTAAGACTAGTGGCTAGATCAAGGTTATCCAGAGGAACCTAGATGACAGCTAGATTCAACCAGAGAACAAAGTTTGCTTTCCTCTATCATAAACACTTTTGAATTATATCCCATAGAATTTCCTTCTCCACAGTTTAAAGTTTAATTTTTCTGAAACCTTACCAATTCTGTCACTGTGATCACACTAACAGCATTGTTTGTATGTTATGTTTCATTTTTGTTTGATGAGTGTTTGCCTGCAGGGTCATAAGAGCACCAAATGTGTGCCTGTGGAGACCAGAAGGCAGCATCTGATACCCTGGAACTGGAGTTATACATGGTTGTTAGCCACCATGTGGGTGCTGGGAATTGAACCTGGGTCCTCTGCAAGAGCAGCTGGTGCTCTTAATCACTGAGCTATCTCTCCAGCCTCATCATTGTTTATATTGACTGTTTCTCTTGGTAAGTTATGATTATTTATATGTCTGCTTTTATCTTTATCCTGGAAGCTCTAAGGCATGATCTGTGCTTTATTCAGCCTTATATTTCAATTCTAGACTATTCCTGTGAACTAATAGGCTTTAAATGCTTGTTAAGTGAATGTTCACAAACATCTAGGGTTTTTTGTTTGTTTGTGTGTGTGGTTGTTGTTTCATATGTGTTTGGTATGTATCCATGTGTGTGTGTTTGCATGTTTACATGCCTATGTGGGGGAACATGATATGTGTGCTGAGGCCCAAGGTCCAAAGCCAATATCAGGTGTCTTCCTCAACAGCACTCTACTTTATTAACTGAGGCAGAGTCTCAGATCCAGAGCATCTCAATTCCAGCCAATCTAGCTAATCAGCTTGACCGAGGCATCCCTGTCTTTTCCTCCCAAACTCTGGGATTATAGGCAGCCATTACCTCTGTCCTGCTTTAATGTGAGTTCTGGGGATCAGAACTCAGGCCCCATGCTTACATAGCAAGTGCTTTATCCACTAAGACATTTCCCAGCTCTTGTTCTGTATTTTGTTTTTGAGAAAGGGTCTTCTGGAACATTCTATGTAACCAGGCTGGCCTGGAACTTCCCATAATACTCCTGCTTATGCCTCCCAAGTGTTAAGATTCTAAGCATGTACCACCATGCCCATATAATTTCTTCTTTTTTTCCTATTTATGTATTGGTGTGAAGGATAAACCTAAGGCCTCATGGAGGTTTATCACTGAGCTTCCCTCAGCCCCTCTTGAAATTTTAAAATGTTTTTTGGGAGAAAGACAGAGGATTAAGCCTAGGGCCTTACATGGTAGGCAAAAACTCTCTCTCTCATTGAACTTCATCACTGAACTCTAAGAATGTTCATGTCCCTTCTATAAAATGTCATGTAACCATGGACATCTGTCTGGGGACTTTAAATTATCTCTAGATACTTATAATACTTAATACAAATCTTATATAAATAGCTATACTGTATTGTTTAGGAGATCACAGGGGAAAAATAAAAGTCTGTATATATTCAATATAGGCACTCTTTTTTTCAAATTATGTGTCTTTTTTGTTTTGCTTTGACAGTCTTTTTTTTTTTAAAAAAATCTTTTTTTAATTTTATGTGTACGAGTGTATTGCCTGCATGTATGTGAGTGCACCCATGTCATGCAATGCCACGGAGGTCAGAAGAGGGCTTCGGATTCCCCTGGAACTGGAATTAAGGACGGTTCTTAGCTGCCATATGGGTGCTGGGAACTGAACCTGGGTCCTCTGCCAGAGCAGTCAGTGCTCTTAACCGCTGAGCCATCTCTCCAGCCCCTGACAGTTTTATATATAGCTCGGCCTAGCCTCAAACTATATAGCCAAGGATGGCCTTGAACTCCTGACCCTCTTGCCTCCATCTCCCAAGTGCTGGGATTACAGGCATGTGCTGCCAAGATGGTTTATTAATTTATGGTGGAATACAATCATTTTTAGGAGATTTGTATCAAAGGAAAGACAATAGTCTTAAACAGTGTTTCTCTAAGTATAGCCAACACTTAGTTACAAATGAAGGTTCCTTCAGTGAATCCTATGTCTGAGTAATCAGCATCTCTGAAATCTACATTGTTAATAGCATCCTAAGTGATTCTATAAACATTAAGTTCTTATGTCAAATGGTTTGGAGGAGTTTCACTTGGAAAAGCTCCAATAATTATCCTATTTTAAACTACACCATTTTCCTTACTACAAGAATCCTAGCTACAAGATCCCCTCCTTCCAAAACAGTGCTGAATAAATTGTTAAATTCTAAGCCTAAACTAGTCTATCTCTATAGTTAAGACATCAGCTTGACTCAATCTCTCTTACCAAGGATTCCTGTTTTAGAGAGCAAAGAACATAATTCATTTACTTAGGATTTTAAGATTTCTTACTTTTATACTTTTTAATATAATCTGGAATTCCTCAGAAAGCCTCACAACCCCGTAGATTGTTTTAAACTCCTAAACTTCCTTTGTATCAGTCTTCTTTCTAGTTTTACAATTTCCCCGTGTAGCTTGGGCTGCCCTCAAACCCACTATCCTCCTGACTCAGCCTGCTAAGTGCTGGAATTCCAGGCATGAGGCAAGAGGCCCAGTTTGAGCTCTTTTCCTGGAAGGTGGCCAAAGCACTCGAAGCTCTTTACTTCTGCTCTCCACACCCTCAATACTTCAGTACTGACTGTAGGGCCGTAAGTGGCTAAGAAAAGCTTTTTTTTTTAAAACAGGAATTATAAATTCTGTAAACCCTTCCTTCCCATAATTTCTATCAATGTTCTGAATGGATCAGATGATCATGAAATGTTGGAAAAGAATAAGATATTGCTGAGCTTGGCTACTTGAGTGACCTATGATTCATATATGCACAGACCATACATAAATATGTATTAAAGACTGTTGTTATAGCTTATTTCTTTTATGTTAAAAATAGATACCTGTGTGAAATATTCAAACTGCTTTTCTTTTCTTAAGTATTGCTCATCTGACCTAAAATGGTGACAATAACTTGAAAGTGAAACTAAAGTGGTGAGGGAAGCACCCTTGAACTTTTGCCCTTGCCTGCTGTGCATAAAACCCTTGATTCAATCTTCACTGGTGTCCAATAAAAGAAAAAGGGAACTTTTCCTCAGCACTCCTGGAGGTGGAGGTAGGAGGATCTGAAGTTCTAGGCCAGCATGCACTACATAGCAAGACCTTGTTTCAATAAACAAAAATCACCAGCAACAAAAGGGGCTGTTTCTTTGATCATTCCCTGGAAATGCTAAATTTAGTAAATGAAGACAAATTTTGAAAATTGATGTTAAAAAAATAGTGAATAGCCTCCCTTCCTAATTAGACAAGGTTTTATTATGCAGCTCAGTCTGGTCTGGAATTTTCTATATAGTTCAAGTTGGCCTCTAACTGCTCATCTTCCTGTCTTAATATCATTAGTGCTGAGATCACAGTTATGTGCCACAACATCCAGCTTTAAACTATTAGCATTGCCAAGATTTAACAATCATAGCATATTAGGAATTACTCAATATTCTCTCTTAGCAAATATTAGAATATTTGACTTAAGTAGTTCTCACATTCAAACTGAATCTAGGCTTTTTTTTTTTTTTTTTCTTTGAGACAGGGTCTCACTATATATCCCTGGAACTCACTATGTAGACCAGGCAGCTAGCCTCAAACTCACAGAGACCCATCTGTCTCTGCCGCCTGAGTGCTGGAAATAAAGATGTAAACCATTACCCCTGGAAAATCTCAGAATTCTTAGAATTCTGACAATAGAAAATTGCATAGGTAAAACTCATTTCAAAGAGAATCAGTAGGAATAAAAGGGCTCTGTGCAGTAAAATCTGATTTGACTGGCATTTAGTGAAAACAATTTCTTGGGTGTTCTTAGAGAAATAGTGTTCAGGATTATACTGTATAGAAATAGTATACTATTATTTCATCATGCATTAGCAAAAGCCAATCAAGAATTGGTCTTACCTTAATAGGTATACATAGTATGTAATGTAATGAGTTTACCAAATACCTGTCTCCAAGAGAGGTATGCTAGTTAAGACTTTAACCTTCCCCCCAGCCTCCACCCCAACCCCACAATTTTTTTTTTCTTTCTTTTCTTTTTGGTGGTGCTTGGAATCAAACCCAGGGCCTCAAGAATAGTAAGCAAGCATTTTACCACTGAACCCAGTTCCCTTCTTTTCTTTTAATGTGTTTGAAAGTTTTTTTACAAGTTGGAAAATCTGCTTCTGTTGACACAATTATTTACTTCAAAATTCTCTTTAGTTCAATAGACTTTGTATTCAAAACCAAAAATACTTACTGAGGACTATTGGGGGCTATCGGGGCTATCTAGTATAATAAACACCGTTGTAATTTTCCTTTTTTTGAGACAGGGTCTCCCTGCAGCCCCAGCTGGACTGAAACTTACTACGTAGTCCAGGCTGGCCTTGAACTCAGAGATTCCCCTGCCACCTGCCTCTGCCTCCCGCGTGCTGGGATTAAAGGCATGTGCCTGGTGCCAGACATTTTCTTGAGACAGGATAATTTTGTGTAATCTGATAAATTTGAAAAGCGACATACATATAAGTTGGCAGCAGGTGGAGTCTCACAATTTACCAAGGAGGCTTCTTTTCCTTGTACTCGGCACCCACATACCTAAGGGTTTCCTCATTCGTGTGTAACATTTCCAACCCTTGTGTATTCCAAGTATTTATGATGTAATGTCTGTAATTTTCGTGGCTGATAAAAAAGAACTTTGTATTTTTAGAGCTGGTTTTTGGCAAATTGTGTAAAATCAGAAGATTTTAAGCAATTCTAAGATAGGGAGAAAGATTTTCACTTACTTGGTATACAGAGTGGCTGAGCTGTAAGGCTTTGAGCAGGAACTCAAAGATGACTTAAAAGTTCAAAGCACTAGAAAGAAAAAATTACTTTGTGCTTCAGATGCAAGTAATTTCAGCATTGCCACTACTCAAAACGCTTGATGCCGATTTAGTTTGCCAGAACCCCCCCTCTCCCAACTCTATTCCTTTGTTCACTAAACTCTAAGGATTCAGACCAAACATGGTGACAAATAAGTGACTGGTTAAAGGGCTCGGGGTCAGTGCAAGCGGGAGAGGAATTATCGAGTCCTTGGGGAAGTCACCCCTTTTGAGGCCTGTGGTGCAAAGACCTGATACTCAGCATGGCAGAATTGGTGAAGTTTTCACTCTGGTCACACTCTCATCACGTCTGAGGAGGCTGAAATCACTGAGCAGCAGACTAGGCCAGGTACCTCATACAGAAAGGCAGCCAGAGCGGCAACATCAGCGGTTAAAAGCTAGGCTTTCAGAGGACGTTCTAATGCACCTGTACTAAGATTACTAGCGCTGTCAGTTCCTAGAGTGGAGGAAATGAAAGAGGTAGAGGGCAAAGGGCTGGGAAAAGGTAAAAATCTGTAGGGTTCAGGAAAAGGGGAAGGCAAGGGGAGAGAGCGGGACGCCGCCGAGAAGGCCACAGGTTTATGGGCACGGTCTCGGCGTTCCCATGGAAACGTATCCCTCCGCACGAACCAGAGTCGTTCGCCTCTCTCCCTCCGCTCCGCCGCTTGTCTGTTTCCGCCTAGCTCCTTTGTGCCGCGCAGAACGTTGACACCACGCATGCACAAAAAAGAAAGCCCGCCCTCTGCATATATAAGTGCGAATCGGCGCTCTTCCTTGTAGTGCCGCCGGGACCGTTGGCGAGTGCAGGTGTGTGGGAGCCTCCGCGTTACTCGAGCTGTGGGCACTGCGAGCCGAAGAGCGGAGCACGCGGGCCGGTCATCATGTCGCGGTACGGGCGGTACGGAGGAGGTAAGCTGCTAGGGCCCGGGAGAGGAAGGGGCTGTGCGCGGAATGAGCTCTGTGGGGCCGTAGGGTCGGCGCGGCGGTTGGAGACGGTTATTCCGCGTGCGTAATGGCGGCTTGAGCTCACGCCGTGCGGAGGGAGGCAGCGAGGGCGGGGTGCGGCCGCGGGGCTGAGGCCGGGACGGCCCGGCCGGTCGGCTGCGGGTTCGGGCCGTAGTCACCCGGCCAGGCCGCGGCCAGGGGGCACCGCCGCTTGTGGCGTTGCCCTTCGCCGCCCGCCCGCCTCCTCCCCCCCGCCCTCGGCGGCGGCTGCCATTTTGCGTACATTGACGGCCGCGGTGGCGCATTTCCTCAGCGCTTTCCCGCCACTGGTGTGAAGAGATCGGGTAGGTCCGGGTTGGGTGGAAGCCGGGACGAGACTGGCCGCTGCGAGCCTCGCGGGGTCGTCCGGCGGCGCGTTGAATTGAGGAATGGGCGCGAGGGAGTCACTGCGACTCGCTTCGGCCTTCTTTCCCTAGCCCGGTTAATCGCTTTTTCTGGCTCTGGGGCGGCTGCTGTGGAGCCCGAGGCCGCCGCAGCCTCGCTCTCCCGCCCTCGCGGGCAGCCCGGAGCCCGCGCGATTTCCGCGCCCGGGGCTGCCGGGACTCGGGGGCGGGGCCGGGGCCTTCTAGCACGCGTTCGGTGCAGCTGCCCGAGATTTTTCCCCGGGATAAACTGTAGAACTTTGCCGCGCATCTGGCTGTTCAGCATTTCATGGGTTTCGGTGGAGGGCCCTGAACCAAACAAGCCGGGTGGTGGCTCCCGCGTGGTCCAGGCCCTTGAGGGAGGCAGAGATCAGAATCGCTTGAGCCTAGTTAACCAATCTGGGCTAAAGCAAGATCTTGTGTCCAAAAAGAAAAGAGAGGGCCAGCGAAATGGTTCATGGGTTTATAAGAGCGCTTGCTTTGTAAACCTAACCTAGATCACCGGGACTCACTTGGTGGAAAGGAAAAAAAACAACTCCACAAAATTATCCTCAGACCTACACGTGAGCGCCCTGGCACGCATGTACACAAAATAGTAATTAAAAAATACATATGTATTTTGAGTCTGTCTCATTGGTAGAGCACTTAAGCTTGGCTTGCTCAGAGCCTCCTGGAATACCCCCAAAGTAGAGATTTTCATGGCTTTAAGGATAGCCCATTTTAAAATAAACTCATTCATATGAGACGAACTGCATGACATTTATTCTTGTTTGCATTTTGAAACAGAAACCAAGGTTTATGTCGGTAACCTGGGAACTGGTGCTGGCAAAGGAGAGTTAGAAAGGGCTTTCAGTTATTATGGGCCCTTAAGAACTGTATGGATTGCCAGAAATCCTCCAGGATTTGCCTTTGTGGAATTTGAAGATCCTAGAGATGCAGAAGATGCAGTTCGAGGACTGGATGGGAAGTAAGTGAAAATTTATTAAATACTCCTGTGGGTTAAATAGTAATCCTAGTGCTAAATGGATTCTCCACAATCTGGAGAATCTGTATGGGGGCAGGTAGAAAATGTGGGTTTTTTTTTTTTTTTTTTGAGACATCTGATCTAGTCTAGTCTGACCTGGAGCTTCCTGTAGCTCACACAGTGAGTAGTTGGAGCCATCCTTCTGTCTCAGCATCCCAAGTACTGGGATTATAGGCACCTGATTATGTTACATGTACTTTAGACATGAAGATTAAATCAAGGTAGCAAAGGTGAAACCGGAATAGTACAAAGATAGCCAAAGCTGGGGTTAGAGATGGCTCACTCTTGCAGAAGACCCAGTTCAGTTGCCAGCACCCACATGGTGGCTGACAACCATCTATAACAACAGTTCTAGAAGATCCAAAGCTCAGCATCACAGTTCCATGCATGCCGGCAATACACTAATACACATAAAAAGTAATAAATATTTTTTTGAAAAAGATAATCAAAGCTTATAAGGGGAAATGAATAGGTGATTGAGTTGGTCTTTTTGAGACAGGATCTCCCTCTAGCTCCAGCTGGCCTGGAACTCATAGAGATCCGCCTATGTCTGCCTCCCTAGTGCTGGGATTAAGGCATGTGCCACCATGCCCAGCCGGATGAATTCTTTTAAATGTAGGAGTCACATGGATGGATGTTTTTAATGTTGGAATTTTCTTAATATTTTTGTAGGGTGATTTGTGGTTCTCGAGTGAGGGTTGAACTATCTACAGGCATGCCTCGGAGATCTCGTTTTGATAGGCCACCCGCCCGACGTCCCTTTGATCCCAATGATAGATGCTATGAGTGTGGTGAAAAGGGACATTATGCTTATGACTGTCATCGCTATAGCCGTCGAAGAAGAAGCAGGTATTTAATTAATAAAGGAATGGTTGGTATTCTAGTTAATTAATCAAAGTAATTCTTTTATTAGCAAGGCAGAAACTTAGTGTTTTTCTATAAACTTGAATGTTTAATTGTACAGGTGTATTTTACAATTTTTGTTTAATTAAAAATGTTACTATATTAATAATCAACCTGGTCAAAACCTTTCAGGTTTCTTCGTTTGAGTCAGTCGCCTTGATTCAGAATGTCACGAGCCTTATGATATCATGCTGAGGCGCCTTGCAAATCCGACAATTAAGATCCTCCTAGACCTTGAGGTGATCAGCATAAGAGGCCAGATCCCCTCGAGTCATCTACACCTAGCTTCACCTTATTCTTTAAAGGGCAGAAAATTTGAGTCGGTGATCGCCGTTAACAGTAAATTTGGCTTACAATTGGGGCCCCCCCTCCGCTTTAGAAAGAGGAACACCAGATTGACCACATTCCCAACTAGAAAAATCTTCTTGCGTCAATCAAGCCTCACCTGGCTCTTTTGGCTGTCAGTTTGATCGTCGTTAGATTGAAGAAAACATCTAGATGCAGCGATCGGCTATAGATACTTCTAGATCGTCTAGATCTACTAGACCTACTACTAGACCATGGGCCAAAGAGGGTCGACCTGCAAACTTGCAAGGTTTATTTTAAATACACATTATGGCGTTTTATATTATGTAATTCTAAGTTTTAATTCAGCTTTTAACAAATCTTTTTTTAGGTAGTAAAAAAAAAAAAAAAAACTGATAGGCCCAGAGTTTTTCCAAATGAAACACTAAATTTTAAATAGTTTTGAGATTTGATTTCAGCAGAGGCACACAGACACTAAAAACGAGTATCAGCTAATATCTTGTATTTTTCTAACTTGAAAAATAGGTCACGATCTAGATCACATTCCCGATCCAGGGGAAGGCGATACTCTCGCTCACGCAGCAGGAGCCGGGGACGGAGGTGAGAAATTGTGTAAAATTGAAGTCTGACATGTGAAAAAAAAACACAGAAAGATGGTCTTAAAACTTGTCCATTTTTAGGTCAAGATCAGCATCTCCTCGACGATCAAGATCTGTGTCTCTTCGTAGATCAAGATCAGCTTCACTCAGAAGATCTAGGTCTGGTTCTATAAAAGGATCGAGGTATTTCCAGTATGTAACACATTTTCCTCCTTACTTGTAGTTGGACTGTCACGTCTTTAAGACACAAAGTGGAGTATCTTAATTCAAGTGAGATGCTTCAGAATATTTGAGGTATAAAATTGATTGTATAGCCAGGTGTTGGTGTACACCTGTAGTAGTGCTTTGGAGAATGAGACAGGATTACTTGAGTATGGGAGTTGTGAGACCAGACAGGAGAACATAGTGAGACAAACCACTGCCACTCAAGAGAAGTCATAGAAAGAAAGGGCAAAGGCAACATTCTTCCAGTGAACAAGTGGTACATTTGGCATCTGTTTGTGTAACTGAGAAATTTAGAAACAAATTACAAATTCAGAAACATTTTTTGGTCCAGCAAAATGGCTCAGTGACTACTAAAGAGCTTACCACCAAGTCTGATGACCTGAGTTTGATCGTTTGAATTCACATGGTGAAAGGAGATAACCAATTCTAGTCCTCTAAATAACTTTTGCCTACTTGAAACATAGTAAATGAGTGTAAAATTTAAAACTTAAACTTTTTTGGAATTGTGATGTTTTGAGACCCTGAAAGGTTGTCTGAAGAACAGGATAAATGGGAGTTTTTTAGCTCTGTACATTGGTTTCAATATACTTGAGTGAAATCAACTTTACTCCCTTTATAGAAGGCCTTCAAAGGTTATTGAATATACAACTCTTAGGAGATCAGGAATTGTACTACACATGAGACAGTTGTATATAGAATACCCTTGGGATTTACAAAACCTGTAAATGCAGGAATTCTGAGATACCAGTAAGATCCCAAGGTTTTTATGAGATGTAATTACATGTCAGCCTAATTTGGTTTGTGTGACAAATTCAGGACCTTGAATCAACCTTTCTAAGAATAAAGGCTTATTCTATTGGTTGGTAGCTTTCTATTCACTGGCATCACTGAGTGTTAAAGCCACAGTTCAGGCCTGCCTGGTCTGAGTGAAGATTAGTTTGATGAAAAGTCATTATCTTGGATGAAACTACCTATTAACCTTGAACAGTGTTTAAGAATGGAAATACAGCTTCTACATAGGAGTAGTGACTAGTTGTGTATGACAGAAGCAAGTATTTAAAATGTGATTCCCCTTGGATTTGATAGTTTGAGAACTCCCTGGGATTGGTGTAAGCCAAGAGTTGTATCTTACCTCCTGTCCTATCCTACTTAATCGGGTGCTTAGTAAAGGAATTCATGTGGACTCATGTATTTTCTTCCTTTTTATTAAGATCCCGATCAAGATCAAGATCAAGATCCAGGTCTCTTTCACGACCAAGAAGCAGGTAGAGTAAAAATCTGATCCAGTTCATGCTCCTAGGATTATATAGCACCAATATCCAAAGAGTTCAAAGTGTTTTAAATTGAAATTTGGGTCTTACCCAAACCTTGGATGTAGTGGAAATAGCAGTATGTTATATTAAATCCAAATTAAATTTTCATTTATACATGGCCTATTGCTGTCTGGATTCATGGAGAAGGAGAAGGGAATGTTAGTGACTGATGTTTGACTTTGAAAGTTAAGAGGCCCTTATTAAAACTGGTTGGTTCATAGAGAAGCATTTGGAGGTAAATGTGCTTTATAGCAGAATGTAAAGAATGAACTGGAATAATACAAACAGTTCACTTGTTTTCCGAAAATGTAGGCGTTTTTAAGATTGGCTTTTGTGATAGGCACTGAAATTTTAAGTTTAGTGGGATAATTTTGGGGTTTTATCTTATTACAGCTGTAAGGAAGAGGTTGGTTAGTGCCTTTTCTTACTAGAATTTTTCATGTTTTGACAGCCGATCAAAATCCAGATCTCCATCTCCTAAAAGAAGGTAAGCTAAATGTTTTATTCCCAAATCTTGTTAAATGTGGCCTCTTGGAGAACTTAACTGCCTACTTAGCAGTCTTTGAACTCTTTGGAGAATTGGTGCTGTATAGATAAGGTATTAACCTTGAAATGATTATGTAAAACTTGAGTTGGGTATAACCATAAAGTGTTAGGAAAATCTAAGTTGTGTTTGTCACAAGTGTTCTTAGCTGTAGAACTTTCATGCCTAAGAGCCTGCTTTTTCTCCAACACGTATAATGATTGAAAGGAAGAAAGAACAAATCTTGCGAATAGTTGCATTCTTGCAACTAAACTATTCCTGCCTAATGTTCCATAATGAGCAAAAAAAAAAAAAAAAGTTCAGTAACTGTCCTATTTAAGGTAATCTTGGGAGTTTTGACTGGAAGGGTGTTTTTTTTGTTTGTTTGTTTGTTTTTTTTTTTTTGGTCTTTTTGAGACAGGGTTTCCCTGTAGCCCCAGCTGGCCTGGAACTCACTATAAAGACCAGGCTGGCCTTGAACTCAGATCCGCCTGCCTCTGCCTCCCAAGTGCTGGGATTAAAGGTGTGTGCCACCATGCCCCTCGGAAGTTTGTTTGTTTTTTTTCAAGTCTCAATGGCCAAGCAAGGTAAAAAAGAAGGATTGAACACACAAATTATGTAGTATTTAGGCCTTTAGCCATAGGAATTTAATACCTTTGCGTGTATGGAAATATGAGTAGCTCTGACTTGTACACAAGAGTAAGCTTCACTATACACTAATTGGTTCCAAATCTAATGTTTTTCTTTTTAGTCGGTCCCCATCAGGAAGTCCACGCAGAAGTGCAAGTCCTGAAAGAATGGACTGAAGTTCTCAAGTTCACCCTTTAGGGAAAAGTTATTTTGTTTACATTATTATAAGGGATTTGTTATGCCTGTAAAAATGTACCTAGGAAGGATCTTTCAACCATCTATAATCAAAATGGATCTGGATTTATTACTTTGTAAAATTCACAGCAGTAAGATTGTTTTTGTTGAATGTATTAACATCTTATGGTCTGAAAATGTGGGTTTTCATTTGACACATTTAAATAAAATGTTTCTAACTAGATTTTTGATCTGTGTTCAATATTGATACTTTTCAATTTGGTGAACATTGGGTGTCAAGACATTATTGATCATATTTATACAGATCTGCATTCAAAGTTTAATGGTGTTGGTTAAGCATCAAACATTGTTAACTGTTCTATACATAACACTTGGCCAGAATCTTAAGGGACTTTGAAAATTCCATTTTACCCTTGTAGTGTTGGGTAAGATGATCTTGAGTCCTCTAATAGCATGACTGCATCATGATAGATCCCTAAATTAACTATCCATTTGAAGTTGGTGTTATTAGATACCAAACTAACAATCTCAAATCAGTCAAGCTGGAAGGACCACCGATTTGTCTACTAATGGAGCATGACGGGAGCTAAGTAAGCAAAGCTTACTGAAGTAAATGTGGTATTAAGATGTAGAAGGAAACTGGTTTCTAGAGGATTGTTTTTAGTAGCTGTGGGGTTTTTCAGGCTATTGGGGGGGGGTTGATTTCTACAATGTACTTTTGTTTCTTTGCTTTGAAAGAGCCAATTTATACCAAAAAATGCATGTTTGAGAAATTGTCTGAATTTGGAACTAAACATTGTAAGCCAGCTTTGCAAAATTGTCCAGCCCAAATACTCTATTCCTTTGAATGGATTGCCTTATTCTGTGCAAAAACCTGTTGATATCCAAGCTAGAATTTGCAGTTCCTGGCAACATTGTTCTATTTTGCCAAGCTGGTATAAAGGAAAAGATGTCAATTGAAAACAACTGAGACTAAAGCAGTTTTGTAAACCTGACATTAGCAGCACTTCATGTAGCTAAGTTTTTTTGGTAGTATCTGGTAGACCTTAGAATGGTATAGCCAATAGGTTCTTATTCTGACTTTAAATATATTAAGCAAAATAGGGCAGTAACAGCCATTTTTTGAGTGTTTTTTGGACACGCTTTTTACTCTTATTTCCTAGCCTTGGTGTAAAACAAGTGGCACAGGAATCTGTCCGTTTTAAAAGGCTTTTTGAACAAAATCAGTATTGCAACTTGAATACTGGTCTGCCTCATTTGGTGATCTGAGTGATCATTTGCATTGTTTTTGGAACTTGTCAACTGGTTAAATACATGGTTGGTATAAAGCTATGTGTATAATTGGCAGACTTACCTGTTGCACTTGGTTAGCTTTAATTGTTCTGTATTATATAAAGATAAGTTTGTTCAATAAATCTGCAGAAATTGAACAAATAATCCTGATGCTCAGTTTTTGGAAGTATGATAATCTGAGCCAAAAGTTGACAATCAGCCCTGTAGCTTTTTAAGATGGGTAATTAGCATTCTAGACATGTTAGTCTGGAGGGGAAGGGTAGGGTCAATAAACACTTCATCCTTATACCCTTATAAAAGAAAAGGCGTGTAGTGATTGCCTAGGCTACTCACTTTTACAGTTCTGTTAATTAGTGTGTATCTTAAAATGAAGCAGTTTCATACAGTGCACCTTTTAAAAAGTAGTAGGTCATTTTACAAGACTGCTTTCTCCTAACCTGACTAGAAAAGTACTGATCTACTCAATTTTCATATTAGCACTGACCGGTAGTCAGATATTTCAGGCTTTGTTTTGAGTGCTTATTTATTTAAAGACAAAGTCATGAGCCATATTTGGTAGGTAGTACGTACCTATAATCTTAGCACTTGGGAAGTAGAGCCAGGAAGATCAAGGTCATCATAGGCTACAATGACCTTAAGGCCGAGCATGGTGGTGCATGTCTGTAACATTGGAGGTTGAGGCGGGAAGTGGAGGCTATCCTAGACCATAGAGTGAGAGCCTGTCTGAAAAATAAAATTTCTTAAATGCATATACCCGTAACCTAGCTCTCCATCCAGTTTTGAATGCAATTATATCAAGTGACTAACCTTGTGTTCATGGAGATTTGATAGTGGCTGGAGAGATGGTTCAGTGGTTAAGAGCACTGCCTGCTCTTGCAGAGGACCCTGGTTCAATTCCCAGCACCCACATGGAGCTAACAACTGTAACTGGTTCCAGAGGAATCCAGTGCCCTCTTCTGACCTGCAGGCATAGCTCAACACAGGTGCACTTACACACGTGCAGGCAATACACTTGGATTTTGATACCCATCTTCGTGTAGCCTATGGAAGTTTTTTAAAAATGGTGTGAGCCTGTGTTTGTGTACCACGTGTGTGTAGGTACCCTAGAGGTCAGAACAGGACATTGGATCCCCCTGAACTTGGGTCACAACTCCACCTGTTGTGGGTACTAGGAACCAAACTCAGGCTATCTGCAAGAGTAGGTGCTCTTAACTGCTGAACCATCTCTCCAACTCTTTGAACATAATTTTGAAGCTATATTAGGCCCAGAAAGTTTGGAACTGACGAGTTGATAACAAAATTTATATATAGTTGGAAAGAAAAGGTCAAAGTAATATTAGACCTGGCTGAAGTGTTTGGCAAGTGAGGGAGAGGTCAAAGATAAATGGCTAACAACTAGGTTTAAGTGCTGGACTGTGGGTTTTTTAAAAATATTTTTATTTTGTGTATGTGTGTATTGCCTGCATGTATGTGAGTGCACCCGTGTTGTGCAATGCCGTGAAGGTCAGAATAGGGCTTCGGATTCCCCTGGAACTGGAGTTTGTTAGCTGCCATGTGTGTGCTGGGATTTGAACCCAGGTCTTCTGCAAGAACAGCCAGTGTTCTAAACTGCTGAGCCATCTCTCCAGTCAAAAACATTAAGTGCTGGACTGTGGGGTTTTATTAAAGGTAGGGTTTCACTATGTGTAGCCCAGGCTACCCTGGAATTTGCAATCTTACCTCTTTTGGAGTGGGGGTCAGGTTATACATGCGTACTAAAACTGACTTTTTAAAAAAATGTGTATGAGTGTATTGCCTGCATATGTGTAAGTGCACCCATTTTATACAATGCCTGCAGAGGTCAGAAGAAGGTGTCAGGATCTGGAACTGAAGTTACAGATGGTTGTCAGTTGCCATGTGGGTGCTGGGAATCTCTGCAAGAGCAGTCTGCTCTTAACTGCTGAGCCAGCTCTCCAACCCCTAGAAGTGTTTTTTGAGATGGTCTTAACTGTGTGTTCCTGGATGGCTTTGAATTTATGGCATTCGTGCCTTAGCCTCCAGAGTGTTGGAATTACAAGCCTGTAACACCATGCCTGGTTCAGGTGTGTTATTTTTGGTAATTTCATAAATAAACACAATGTATTTAGATCACATCTACTCTTTGCTCATATGACCCTGGGTGTCCTCAACTATACGGGGCAGAGGCTGTCCTTGAAGATCTTTTCGTTCACCCTAGTGCTGGGACTACAGGCATGTTGCCAACATGCCTGGCTTCAGAGCTTTTAAAGTAAAGACACAATAGGCAGTTTGAAAGCCTGAACCAAAGTACTTGCTTTTTGTAACAGACTCTGTTAGGTATAATCTCAGCAAAATGTGAGATTTTTTTTCCTTGGTCAATTTACTTTTTAATGAAATTATTGAAGGAAACAGTCTCCACAACATAATTGCTGCTACCCTATCTCAGAGGTAAATGGGCTCAGGGATTAGTGATTCAATCTGCTTAGTTCACCTGGTCTGTGGTAAGGAATATTTAAATTCTACCTGTGGTTTGAAACCCTTTTTGATTTGAGAGGATCTTGATAAGTAGTCCCAACTGGCCTCAGGATTCTGCTGCCTCAGTCTCCACAGAGTAGCTGGGACTGCAACATGTAGGCTTAAAATGATAGCATTTATTCCCCTTTTTCCCATCATAAAGCACCTCCTATAGGTCAGAAAACCAAAAAACCTTGAAACCTTACTCAGAGTGATGGCGTTGCTAACTACTGTTCTCTGTCTGGACACAGGAGAAGAGGTACTTCAACATGTAAAATGCAGTACCCAGTTGCTGTTAGCGACCTAGAGCTTTTTTTCCACTGGCCCAGCTTTTCTGTTTATTCCATTTTGAGAAGGCTCCTAATTATCTCATCTGGCTGATTGTCCCAAGAGACAGTCATTACTAGCTAGCTGTATAGCTTGTTGGACAGATTTTTGTATGCATGTGCATAGCTATTTTCTCTTAAACAACAGCATAGTACACATTACTTAATATTTTGGAGGTCTAGTTATTTAAAAATGGTACTTCATTGTTTTAAGTTGCATCCAGTTTAGTTGGCTAGATATTGCATAGTTTATGCAATAAAGTTGTGCATCTTCAGTATTCAGGTACTGTAAAATACTGGGACATAGCAATAAACAGCCTATTTTCATGGAGCTTAAGTTCTGGAGAGAAAAATGAATGTTTTTGAGTAACAGTAATAAAATGGGGTAAGCGGTTTGGGACTTGGTTGCTTTTTGTGAAATGTGTTGCAAGGGGGTTTCTGATAGTGACATTTGAGCAAGTGAGGGAAAGGGAGCAAGATACATTGATTTCTGGGGAAAATTCTCATCAAGAGCATGACAAAGGCCCTGAAAGTGTGTTGTTGGAAGGCAGAGGTGACAGCATGAAGCTTAATGGGAGAGGGAAGAAAGCACAGGAAAGGAGGGAGATCCATAATGTCAATCATGCAGGACCTTGTAGGCCTCTCTGAAAGGACCAGCACTCCTCGGGAGGGTTTAAAAGACTTTTAAAAATATTTAAAAATTTTTATTTTTAAAAATTATTCCAAAGAGAGACAATTTTTGACATTTTCCCAGAAATAACTTGAAACAGGTTACATAAAAATAAATACACAATGAAGTTTAAGGCGGGAAAAACTAAGACTAGGAAATCAAAGACCAGAGGATTTGGCAACATAGAGTCAACTTTAGAACTTTAGTGGAATAATGAAGGTTTCCATTAGCTCTTTTTTTTTCTTTTGAAAATCCTAACGGGTTTATTGGGCTTACTAACAGCATGGGGTGAGTTTTTTGATTTTTTTATATGTATGAGTGTATTGTTTGCATGTATGTGAGTGCACTTCTGCCATAAGATCAGAAGAGGGCATTGGATTCCCCTGGAACTGGAGTTAAGGATAGTTCATAGCTGCCCTGTGGGTGCTGTGAATCAAACCCAGGTCCTCAGCAAGAGCAGTCAGTGCTCTTAACTGCTGACCCATCTCTCCAGCCCCTAAAACACTTATTTTTAGATAAAATCTCACTGTAGCTCTGGCTGTCCTGAAACTCAAAATGTATACCAGACTGGCCTTAGAACTTGTGACAGTGTGCCTCCTGAATACTGGGATTATAGGTGTGTGCCACCATGCTTGGCTACCTTTTTTTTTTGGTCTTTTTGAGACGTCTCCCTGTAGCCCCAGCTGTCCTGGAACTCACTATGTAGACCAGGCTGGCCTCAAACTCAGAGATCCATTTGCCTCTGCTGGGATTAAAGGTGTGCGCCACCACGCCCAGCTTGGCTACCTTTTTTAAAAAACAAAACAAAAGACCACCTTGTTTTGTTGATAGCAAAATTGAGAGGAAAGTACAAGATTCCCACTAATCCATAGATTTATCCAGTATTGACATCTTTCACCAGAATGGTATATTAACACTGATCAATCTGCATTGATGTGTTGTCAGGGCCCCACCTTTGTAATTGTATATTCTAGGGGATTTGACAAATGTACAGTATTTACAGTAGTTCTATAAGACTTCTCTGCTTTATTTTCATCTTTTCCTGTCAAACTTGGGACGGCCACTCATTCTTTACTGTCTGCAGTGTTTTGATTTTTCCAGATTATCATACAGTACTTGGAATCATGCCATATGTAACCTTTTCAGTTTGGCATTTTCGGTAACCTAGTAATAAGCATTTAATTAAGCATCTTTTTCTGACTTGATAGCTCATTTCTGTTTAGTGATGACTAATGTTCAGTTGGCTATTCCACATTTCCATGTGCTTGCTGCTGAAGGATGTCCTAGTTTACTTCCAAGTTTAGATAATTTAAGAATAAAGCTCCTGGGGCTGGAGAGATGGCTCAAGCAGTTAAGAGCACTGGCTGATCTTATGGGAGACCCAGGTTCAGTTCCCAGCACTCAAATGGCAGCTAATAACAAACCTCCCTAATTCTAGTTCCTGGGGATCTGATGTCCTCTTCTGGTCTCTGCCTGCATTGCATCCACAGTTGTGCTTACAAGCAGGCTCATACACATAAAATAAAAATGAGTAAAAAGAGTTACCAAGTGAGGTTTCTGTATAGACACTGAGTTCAATACCTTTGGGTAAATACCAAGGAGCACTTGTTGGATCGTATGGTAAGGATATATTTAAT